ACCTCGTTTTTATGATCGACGCTATCCTGGCCCAAATGACAAGGATCTATGGACTCATTCTGACGAGCAGCCAACACCCGATACCTAGCCCCAAAACTTTTGCATTGGAAAGCCTATTCTGTGACAAGTACTCGAGAAAGCCAAGTCTAAATATCTAATTCCTCGATTCCCCACCTGCATCATGCTGTGCTGGGACAATAAAGTTCTTGACAGTACTGACAGACGCTCGGATCCCGGATCAGGATGCCTGTCACAATCAGCGCCCATCATGGCCCAATGTTGGCACAGTTTTTTTCCAGGACTTTTGTCGGTGCCTGTCGATCCCTTCACTCAGAGAAACCCAGCAACGTAGCATCGTTCAATCGTGGTTAATTGAAGAGCGACTCACCATACAGAGACAAGGACCAAGTTTGCAAATCATCAAGATTTCCGATTCTAAATAACTCGCGCTCATAAATCTTGGCTAGGTCGTCGTTCTCCCACTTGAGACCGCTGAGTGTTTGTGGAACACATCGTAAGGGAATCCCTACCCATGTCAAAGAAGAAGTTTGTTCTACCTTCCACCAACTCAGTATTTAGCTCCAATACCTGCATCTCGCCCGAGGCTCAGCGCAAGCAGACCAAGGAGGCAATGCTCGTCTCAGACTTGGCATCGTTCAAGCGGCAAATCTATGTATCTGTTCGAAATACCAGCAAATTCTGTCGGCATGATCGCAAGCTCAAAAACGACACTGTCAGCATCCGAGTCCTGGCATCAACAAACCAGTCTTTCAATTATCCCAATGTCCTTCGCCTTCACGATACAGTGGCAGTCAAGCTTTCCGCCTCCGTAACCGACAACCGATGGGCTTGCTAAGGATGTACTCGACGGGGAAGGCACAGCCTCGATATCAACAAACAACGTCAAGAATGGCAGTAGCCATACCATCAGCAACCTGAGGCACGCCTAGGAGATTAGCTGACATCCAGATTCCCGATACACGTTACCCCTGCTACATTCGGTAGCGCACGGCTCAATGGATTACAGGCCCAGTCCATCATATTCCAGGAGCCGTCCGGTTCACGGCAATCTTGGTGTGAAGCCGCGTTGATTCCGCTCTTGGCGATCTGAGCAGTCGTCGCATCAAAAAGGGTATCCAAACGATATTAGAAGAGCCGTTCCTCGCTGCTGATGAAACATGACCCGTTCATGCTATGCTTCGCTTGATGCTGCTGGCAAATTGGTCACGCGCGGGGAGATGCATCATGATGATATGAGACGTGGGTATGTGTGGGGAATTCTTTGGTGTGGGTTTGGTACTGAGAACGCGAAGTGGAAGGAAAAGGGGAGTGAGAAGATGATGCCCGTCTCGTTTGTGGTTCTCGTGTACGACCCTAGGAATGCGTGGGTGATGTGAGGGTGGAGAAGCTGGGTGTTCCGGCACTCGGGAGTAAACCTTCGAGCATTGCTTTACAAGGCTAGGCGGGGCTCGAGCTGTCTTTTGCGCTTCTTACTCTGCACCTTTTCATTAAAAAAAGTCCTATTGAGAGTTTACTTGGTCTATAGAAGGCGGTCTAGTAGGACATATGTGCAAATGTCCTGGTGTGGGACATGCCTTGACACCAGTCCGCATGCTGCACATTTGTGGGCTATGAATCATGCGGTCAGACACCCTCACGGCGGCTTGCAGCAGCCCACAGTGCTGCGTAGGATGGGTTGACTATGACCCGACAGGGGTGCTTAATCATCGCCTCCAGCTTGGTGTGGAGGGTGCCATCAGAGTCTATATATATGGTATTGTTCAGCATCACGTCACTTCAAGGAGAAGAGTGACAAAAAATGTCTATGGAAAAAGCGCTACGAGCACAAACTAAGGATATGTAAGGGAGGACGCTTACTTGTTCATCGGCCAATCACCCTAAAACTCCGAAACTCCTGTGAAAGTGTTGTCAGGGTTTTTTTAAAACAAAAAAACCTTTGATTGCTGTCCGTTGGGGCCAAGCCCTATGGTAGACAAAAAAGTATGACGTTTCGTTGAGATATAAGCGTACACGTGTATTGCGTACACCCGGACCAGTGGCCGGGGTTCCTTTCGCGCTCTGCTCGAGTCGTTATCCCCATTTCCTTCGCTTTGAGTATGCGGTCAAGCTCTACTTATAAATGACGACTGCATGACCAGCCGAGGACATTCAATGTTCAACGCGCGCTTCATAGCAATAGGCAACGTCATGAATGGTAGCAGTCATACTATCAGCAGCCTGAGCCACCCCTAGGAGATTAGGTGACATCTCAGTTCCCAATACACATTCCTAGAAAAACATGACTCCTGCTACGTCCGGTGGCCTGAACTCGACAAATGACCGTCATATTCCAGGAGCCGTTCGGTTCGCGACAATCTTGGAGCGAAGCAATGTTGAATCCGCTTTTGACGGGAATCTGAGTAGTCGTCGCGTCAAAAGGGGTGCGTGCAATCAATAGAAAATGTATATGCGACAAAAACATACTTGCTCTCTCCATACCGGGCGCCAATACGATACCTCCTCGGGGAAGGCACATTTGACGCGTTCCCGGGCATGACTCAGCGTCGTTCAGACTGAGGAAGTGATTGAAATCTAACGTAGGTCGATGAGTGGAATCGTGGAACCCTACTACTTAAGATTGAGTATTCAGGAAATCTGGGAGAAGTGGAATAGTACATACCGGTGAGGAGCTGGTGCAATAAGACGTTGTGATAGCCTTCGATCGGTGGGCGGTGTTACGTCCACTGGCACTGTTGCCAACATCGAGCTGTTGCCCCGTTCAAATCAAAACTTTTGGCTGTGTCATGGATCACAATTTCAATTGCAGGCATCCTTGCAATTGCTATTGGTCGACTTCAGATTGGCGGTTAGTGCTGCGTGCGTGATGCTCAGAGCTTGCCAGGGTTGGGATCTCGGGAGTCCGAGCTGGAGTGGCAACACCATCTAATCCGAAATCTTCGGCTGAGTCCGGCCCGACGGTCCGCTCTGCGGTTTTTTGCTCTCTACGCAAACATTCCGAGTCTCTATGTTCAATTCGCCGTGGTCAGACGTGGCCTGGTATGAGCAGACATAACCGCGACGCCGATACACCAATTTTCCTTGACCTGCCCTTAACCTCCCCCGTGGAATCCTAAGTGGCCGATTTGAACCTTGCTCAAATAGTGACTTATGCTACGCATAGCAATATTGAGTAGCAACAAGGTTCTAGAATCTAGCTGTACCAATGAAGGGTAAAATCACCGAGAGCTTATCGGTGCATGAGATTTAGCTTCACCATGGGAAGTAGAGCTGAGTCCTTAGAGGTCAGAGGACTGCACGTTCTATGATTAGCTGCTCACCTTTCCCAACCTTGTACTACCTCTTTGAGGGTAATCCGGGCCGTCATTTCCGCAAAAATGCATATGCACGATATAAGAAGACAATCGAATTGCATATGACGCGGGCTATCATTCTCATCCCGTACCTCCTGCAGACAATGTCCTTCGGAAAGGTTCTTCAGTTAAATACAGGTGCAACCATCCCCGAGATCGGTCTCGGCACCTGGCTCTCTAAACCAAATGAGGTCGAAAGTGCTGTAAGTCACAAGTCATCGTAATGTTCTATCTTGCCTTATCCAATTGGGTTACATAGGTCGAGATTGCTGTCCGCAATGGTTATCGTCACCTTGATCTTGCTATGATCTACCGGAACCAGGACGAGGTCGGACGCGCGCTGAAGAAAGTCATACCATCCGTTGTTACTCGCGAGCAACTTTTTATTACCTCGAAACTCTGGAACTGCTCGCACCAGCAAGGACCAGCCGAGGCAGAGCTTGACGAGACACTAAAGCAGCTTGGACTCACCTACCTCGATCTCTACCGTGTGTTATCACCGAACGTTCCTTCATGTTGATGAACTCATACATGTGTGGCAGTTATACACTGGCCTGTTGCATTTGAGCCTGGAAACGGTCTTTCTCCCCCACATCCGACCAAGGAAGGAGAGGTACTCTTGGACCTTAAGACCTCCCTTGTCGACACCTGGAAAACGATGATCAAGCTGAAGGAAACTGGCAAGGTAAGCCCATAGCATCGATGACGGTCCAGTCATGTGTACCTACTTTCGATAGGTCAAAGCTATTGGCGTTTCCAACTTCACGATCGAGCATATCAAAGGCTTGATTGACGCTACTGGCGTTGTTCCTGTGAGTATAACAAACTGTTTATGTTAGTCGTAATCATTCATGCAACTGAATGTCTATAGACTGTTAACCAGATCGAGGCTCACCCCCTGCTTCCTCAAGATGACCTCGTTGCATACTGCAAGCAGGTAGGCGTCCACATCACCGCTTACAGCCCGCTAGGCAACAACTGTGCGTGTTCTGCTTTCATGTCACGAGAAGGTGCTGACCTGCATATACTTGAACTACAGTCGTTGGCAAGCCTATGCTTACCGAAAACGCTGCAGTGAAGGAAGTCGCCGAGAAACTCAGTGCAACCCCGGCCCAGGTTCTCGTTGCTTGGGGCGCTTACCGGGGCTACTCTGTTATCCCCAAGTCTGTGCAAGAAGGTCAGTGCAGTTCATGCCGTAGATATCAAATGATCTGACACGCTCTTGTAGGCCGAATCATCTCGAACTTCAAGCAGGTTGCGCTCAGCGAGGGAGACTATGAAAAGGTTACAGCGATTGGAGTGGGAAACTTCGAGCGGTATGCTGCTTCTTTCCGTGTTTGTCGTTGTACTCACTTTAACTCACCTTAGCTTCAATATTCCTATTCGCTTCAAACCCAAATGGGACATCAAACTCTTTAATGAGGAACTTGAAAAGACTGCCACGTACCAGGTCAATATTGCATAGGCATTCGACGAGTGTCGGGGAAGGAGAAAGAAAGAAGTCGGTATATTTGTTGCCAAGCATGCCCACTCAACCAATTTCATGAACATCATACGCACAGGAATAGTGAGTCGTGATCCACGGGGCCGAAAGAATCCCGAGCCTGATACGGTTTCAAACCTGCTGTACTTGTAAGTTGCTGTGTGTGAATGGATGGAAACGCGATCATTGTGACTACTGGCGGATATGAATGCGCAGCAGCAGCATAAAATTTTTCAGAATGTGAAATCGCAAAATGTCGGCGCAAATCCAAATGAAGCGGTGACGCCTTTTTACTCTTAACTCATGGCGAAGCGGCTGGCTAGGAACACTTGTATACAAAGTTAACAGAGGAGTAGCAACTAAGATCTGAGATTAGCACTTACCATTGGTCTCTGCTCCTAACTAACTGAGAATAAAAGAGCAAACGGAGTCCCGCGCCACTGTTTAGGATTGGTCGGCATTCAAATAAGCTCCAGCTAGCTTCACAATAGATGCGGAAGTGACAACCTGAAAATGAGTTCAACGTTTGGTGTAACATAACGTCAACATTAAGGGCAACCAACTATTCTAAAGTGGGTTTACTGGCCCACCTATAATATGATGCAGTTTTTTGCCTAGATCCGGGCTGTTGCCGCGGCGCAACTTCAATGGGGATCCAAGTCTAGAGGGTCGTATAAATAATATTAGAGACTGGCTGCTGGGAGGAAAGCAACGGTGCCTGAAGTCGGCTGAGCTCTGCGGGGAAGTTTCCAGATAATGAAATCAGTTCATTCCATATATACATACTCAAGTCGCAGGCTCCCTTCCCAGCATTTTAGGTTCAACTTTCAATCCGACTCCTTCAAATCGCACTCTTGCCATCATCGAGTGCTCTCTTCCTTGGTCCGTTTCGTTCAGTCATGAGTAGTGGTTCGCCTACCGCCTATCTTGTATGGTCTATACTAGCATGCTTGGTGAGCGCATGGTGCACTTCTCCAAATAGAGCACGCTTCTCATGCCATGGGGACCATGCGTAGTTCTTTTGTTTCCTCATATTTCATCTCTGGAAATATGATAGATTCCAATGTCTCAAGTGGGGCGAGGCTGGGAGACAGCCTGGCGCATTCAAACGGTTTATGTCGGTGCGTACCACGTGTCAAATCAAAACATTTTATTCGGACATTTCTGACGTCGTCTAAACACTGGCAGTACACCTACATAGCAACATTGACTCTCCTAGTTATCTTCAGCGTAGCATACACGTTCATAAAGTTCAAAGAAGGTCGTTGGCATTTTGCTTGCACAACGAATATTCCTCACCTTTATTGTCTAGGCTTTCTCATCACCCCAGAGGGATTAGTAAGTACGCAATATATGTCATTTTTCCCGAGCTCATTCCAGAATCCACAGTCTATCCAAAACCTATCGAGTTATATACAACTAGTCACAAAAAGTGGATATTGCCTCTTCTGTTTCTGTTCAGCGCAGCATGGGCTTGTGAGCTGTGAGCGCTTTTCTTGCTGAAGCTATCGCGCTACTCATGTGATTGTGGCATATAGCGTCACACACTGGGAAGGTAGGCTGTGGTCGAATCTGTACCCCGAGATGTCATGTTCAATTCCATTGCTCCTTAGAATTGACATTCTGGCTCTTCATCCTCCATCAAGGCCCTAAGACACGGCTTTGGTTTGAAAGCTGGGAGTTCCGAGTTTGGCTACTTGGTATTGTCTATCTACATTTACAACGGACTTCTTTCCCTGACGAGTCGCTTTTTCTCCACAGGCACAGTTGTAGCGGGGCTAGGGATGCCCTTGACTACTCTTATTTCCCGTCGACAGCTTGATACGGTAGAGATCTCTCACAGCTGGCCCGAAGTGATCCTGATAGGCCCTTCTTACAGTGCCAGGCTTGGATTTTTCTGGTCGGGTCGTCCGCATCGACGATAACTACCCTTTTATTCCTGTATGTTCTTGCAAGGTTTCCAGGGTTCATTCGTCGAGTGAAAGCGGATGGAGGGGAGCCAAACATTGTCTTACGCCTCGTAATGTTTTATCAGTTGAACGTAAGTGCTCAATTTGTGTCTTGTCACAGTGACCCCTCGTAACATTCGCCATGTCAAGTTTGCACGAGTTCTGTTTAGGTTCTTGTTTACTATTCCGCTGTTCATTTTGGCACTGGATGGTGTACAAGGAAGTCACTCGATTAACCAAAATCCGTGAGTGGAAGTTCTGTTTATCTACGTAGGTTGAATCTCACTATCTTCGAAGTTTTTGGTCAGGTGTGTGAAGGTAGCTATGCGTGAGATGTTGTACTCAATCCGCTATCAGATTTTTTGATTATGCTGGGCGGAATCGGCTGCTTTGTCTCTTCGTTCATAACCCTTTTGGTGAGTTTCTTCTGGATAATGCATCCTCCCTACTCATATTTAGCTAGATATTCTTTCCCCGATCGCTCACTCAAGAGCTTGGTTATACGACTGCCCTCATACCGTCATCCTTAGTCGACAAACCACAGATAACGGCTTCAATTGACATCAATTGTGGCGCAGACAACCAGCACATCTCTTCGCCCATGCATACTCCCAAGGCCTTTGTACACGCCCCTTCTACACACTCGTCTCACCCTTCTCACAGCGAGGACACGACGCCCGAATACGAATTCGAAGACCCTGCGAACGACACCCGTTACCATTCTCATTCCCATGACGGACATATGCGAATAAGACAGACATGGGAGCAAACGCAGGATATAGAGGCGCCGTCTGCAGACGGACAGTACATGTTCGACAGACACTCCAGGTGCCTGGTGAGGCCACACTCCGATGGTGTCGCGATTGGTTTGCACCCTTATGTACGTGAATGTTCTTTTTTTTCAATTGAAGTTTCTTATGCTGTCATAGGTTCGAACATTCCGATCTCCGATTGGTGGGCTATACCCTGATTGTCATTCATCGTGCCTTACTCATCTCTCACACTAGATATTTGTGACCTCGAAGATGATGGCCACTCACCAGCGCGATAAAGGGCAAAAACCTCAAATCCAAAACTTATGATGAGTCATCCCATGCTCTGGGCTCGGCGTCCTATGAATTTACGGTATATGCCGTTGCTTATTTTTGTTCAGATCAAACCGTTGACCATCTTCCACAGCTTTCATCTATTGCCACTTCCCACATCCACTGCCACTTACCATATGCCATCTAACGACTTAATGATACCTTACTTACCACTGCTACCATTCAACCTATACCCCACCTATACCCTTGACAGTTATTTTTTGGGGTGAAATACACAACCATGTAGGCATATCTTGTTGTACAATAAGTAGAATTAGGCGCTCGGGATCAGCGCGAATCGGAGGGGCGATTTTGTTACTTTATTTCGAGTGTGATATATTACACACTGCCAACGCAAGACCGTGTCATGATCATTTATCCAGTGAGCTTCTGTTGAAGAAGCTTCAGGCTCCATTCTGATGTACTCATCTCTGGCCTGGGAACCCGCTGTAATGGTTCGACAAGTTGTTCCTTGGCCTTCTCATGCATCCTTGTGGCCCAAGAATCCACTGGCGTTGGCTCGTCAGGCTTCTTCCAAATGTCCTCGATGGCCGCTCGTAGCTCAGACTGCAGGTAATCAAACTCCACTTGTAGAGAAACACCCTCTTTTCGGTGAGCTTGGGAAAGCTGGAGGAGATGTGGTAGCAGTTTTTTGATTTCCCCTGTAATCAAAGGGTCGTCAGCCGCGGTAAATATAACATGAAAGCCCTTGAACCTTGAGTAGTGGCACATCTTTCTACCAGCTTCGTAACCGACTTGAGTATATACTCCTCTTCGTCGACAGTTCCCTTTCTCCCAGAGCCTAGCTTACGCTCCATTTTGCGCTTTGTCTTGGAACTTCGCCTAGAAATGATCATTAAATAATATTAATGAAGGACCAAAATGGCCGGAAAACTCACTTTGAAGCTTTCGAAGTAGCTGAGGGCGCCACTGTATACCGCGTAAAAGCAGTGGGCGCCATAGATACATCCGTCATGACGTCGACATTATGAAGGGTCGGATCATCAAAATGATAGAAGGCATCTACTCGCATTGTTATCTCAAAAGAAGCGGACGCGTTAAGGATTCGGTACGCACCTGGTTCTTCGACCTTCTTGATTCTGAGCTCTGTCAATCGAGCTACTTGTTTACAAAGTTGTTCCCGCATCTCATTAATATCATCACCAATCTGTGCGCGACAATCCAAGGCACACGGAAGAAGCAGTTGATCTATGAGTTCGGGTTTGGCATGTAAGGTGATCTTGCATGAATGTATCAGCCAAGACATCTGTTGCGATTGTCCGAAATTACACGTACTATCCTCCGCTGCTTCTGCGAATTCATTGCCCTGAGCAAGCAAATGCGTTGCCTGCCGGATGTCCTTGGCGTAATCAAGGAGTACCCGTGCTGACTCACTGAAGCGCTTCTTTGACAAGAGCTCATCTACTCTTTCAGTCAGTTTGGAACACGATCACCGGAGAACCAGTCAGCGTACCAGCAATGCGGTATGCAATTTCCGTGATTTCATCGCAACCAAGTTGCTCTTTCAGACAGAGCTCAAAGAGTTCCTGCCATTGTAGTGCCCTTTCATAAGATATCATAGCACGTCTTGCATCCGATGCTTCCACGAAAACTGATATGGAAACTCGATGACAACTTCTGTAATTTTCCGCATTGACGCACCTGTAGCTGCTTGATGATATTCGTGCCGATCAAAGAGCCAGGCGCCATAGATACCCAGGACATCCTGGGGGTCCAGTCAATGTAAGTTTAGGATATTCAAGAAATGCAAAGCTCAGCTACCATATACTTGTCTGTGCCTTGCCAAATTACCAGGGCCTCATCGTGTAATTGATGTGTGTCTAAGTAATCCAGAGCTTCCTGGAAGTACTCAGGACCTGGATCGACGTGTAAGTATTTAAGTCAAGTCAAGATCCGTCAATACACCATACCAGCGAGACTCAAACTGCGGAGAGCCTTCGCGCGCCTCTTGAGGTGATCATCGATTTTAAAGTGCTGGTAATACTTGGGCAATGCCCTGAGCTCGCGAAGGAACGGGAGATACTCTCTCGGATCCTGAAAAGAGATGAACTACACTGTAAAAGTTATCAAAATAAGAAGTACCTTTTGCGCGTGTTGTGCGACCATGAGGACAAGAGAGAAGTCATACATGCCTAGAGCTGTATCAAATAGTCGATCTGCATCAACAAGGAAAATGATGTATTTGACGGCCTCTTCGACCAGGCTTGGGTTAACGCCTGGATGAAACTAGGTGAATTTGATATCTCTGTAATACCACCGACAATTCATACCTCGCAAGCGGAGCAACAGCGCTAGGCCAGCTTCATGGTCTGGTGGTGACTTGACAACGTACGCAGTAAGGATGGAGTTGACATATTTCGTCAAATCCCTGTCCTCTAAATCTTGGCGCACGGAGTCGCAAACACTGGCGACAACCTCTGCAGGGAGTTGACTTCGCCTAAAAACTAGTCAGACAAATGTTGGAGCAGTTCCTGGGTTGCGTTGCATTACCCTACACTTGTCAAAAACAAATTTATGTAGTCAACGTCTTCAATTTGCTCCACAAACGCTGGAATACCAGCCATGAAGACCTCTTGGTTATGCTCGACGATGATGCTGAAGTCAATGCGATGTTTACGGCAAGACATGAAAGCCTTTCGCCACAGTCCACTGGGATAAAATGTGAGTGATCGATGTGCGGGGGTCAATGACGAAATACGCACGCGTCTAGATCGCTTTTGACGACCTCCATTACCATAGGTCGCGGATTAATCGTCTCGAGATTCCCTCGTGGCATTTGAAGTACTAAGCTCATTGTACTTGGCACCGCAGTGACGATTCTTGAGCCTCTTTCAACCCGTCGTTTTTGCCAAGCTTGCGACGCGAGCTCGCCTGTTTTATTTTCGTCGCCAGTCAACGAAAGCATACCGTTTTCCTGACCTGATGTCAGGATTGCAACCACACTCTCTAGAGGTGCGAACTGCACGTCATGTGAGGTAGTGGTGAAGATCACGAATCCGGAGGCAACAGTGAAAGAGTTCACATTGCTGGCCAGCGATGTCGATTCTGCATTCGGAATTGCAATGTAGGCCTTGCCTCCTGTAGACAGACCCACGAAAAGTTGAGCGTCGACGCGTTGGGAGGATGGACAGTACTCTGTGAAAGAGCAAATTTGTGAATACGATTCTTCTTCCCTATGCACTAGAAGGCCGTAATCAGCCATCAAGTCTATTCACGTCTTAGGGCAAGGACATTGCACACCTTGGAATATTGAGCCATCGGGTGCCTGCCAAGTAAGATGTCTAGGAACTTCATGCGGAACAAGACGTCCATTTTTTTGCTGTAGCGATATTGTAGTTGATCTTGTCGCCGAAATTGACTTCAACGGTAAAATGACATGCTCAAAGTCATGAATTACGATTCGGTCGTTCCCACTGACGTCAGACCCAAGTATCGCAGCTGAGATAGTCTTATGTTTGTCGTCATCATTCTCAGAAGAGATAAGAACTTGACGACAATGGCAGAGCTCCCGCGGCAAATTGGCTGACCAGATAAGAATTGGGTTCATAGCCGCTCCCCCGCCCGGCGTGATTCGTGTTTGCAACGCCCACATCATTACGTGTCCTTCTTGCCATACTGCAGCGAGAAGGTCGTGTGATTGTGAGAGTGATATGTGAGGTGGTACCTGGGACAGGAACAGGCCACCGCATAATGCATCGGTTGGAGTATTTACTAGCAGCTGATGCGATGACATAGGCGGAGGTATATTTTGCGTACGGAATGGCGTAAGTAAAATTTTCTCTGTGAACAACTCGATAAATGAAGGGGCAAGGAACGTAGATTTGAAAACTTACGGCCATCAACGACCCCGACACAGCCAGTATCATTGGCTCCAGAGCATGTCTCCCATGCATAATCATGCTGTATGATTTGCACTGCCAATTTTTTCAGCACGGCACGATACGAAAATATCTGGAAAATACGTACGCGGCGATGTCAAAAGAAGTCGCATGCTCACTTCAGGATGCCAAGTGATAGACGTAAAGTGGGTCGATAATGGTGCCGAGATCTCTTGCTTGAGATACCTGTGAATATGATGGTAAGAAAAGGTTTCATGAAGGGGAAATTAACTTCACCAGTGATAGTTTCCGGTGGTCCACAATTGCACAACATCGGCATGTTCCCGTTCAATGTGGACGGCAAGCACATTTGAGTCTGATGACCATGCAAGATGTTTGATACGGGAGTCTCGATCGTCCCCTCGTAAATTAAATCCCCCATGTGGCAATCCATTACGCTCAAAGAAAACGACGCCATGTTTTCCGGTTCGCTGCGTGTCTGATGGTCCTGCGCGAATCTCTTTTTGCGTAGATGCAATAAGATTGCCACTTGGTCTCCAGGATAGGGTCGATTCCAGACCTGCAACTATCTCTGCAGTAGACTGAAGTCGGGCTTCGTTTGAATACACTCGTAAAACTCGTCCTTTGCCAGACTGAGGAATTTGCCAGGCTAGAGAAGACACCACAAAATAAGCTCCATCGCCACGCCAACTGACCCGAGGGAGACCATCATCGCTAGGATCTGCTTGTATTTGAGTCGGAGACTGTGGCGAGGGTTTGAGATGTGCTCTTCCTATCGAGCCATGGAATTGCGTTTCCTTTGCACCCCAACCAACATTTATTGGAGCATCTGCGAATGCATATATAATCAGAAACACCACAACCCACAAGGTACGGCGTACCTTCGCCAAAATCTTCAGTATGCAAGGGTGCCTCAGATAAGACATCGAATGTGGAGGTCATAAGAATAAGATTTTCGTCGCCTTAACCATAACATCAGCAACGGTAAATTCAGGTAGCCGCTGGAACTAGGAAGCGCACCAGTAATCATCACAAGAAGTGTGTCATCGGGACTCCATTCAACAGACAATATACCTGAATCAACACTTCCTACAATATCTGGACCGCTCTGCATCGATCAACACAGCTTAAAAAAAATCGTGTGTATGCGCCTCACAATAAGTTCCCCAGATTCATCCAATTGCCAGGTAACTGTATCCCCACTCCTTGTCACCAAAATGAGCTGTGAAGTTTCGCCTATAACTCGGAAAGACAGAACTTTCGGATTGATGAAACTAAAGGAGCCACACAAAATAGGCGCATTCCATTCGCAGGGATCGACAGGAGTTCTCCATATGCGCACTCCGAACTGCGCATCCTCCGATGCGGCAAAAATCAATCCTCTGTCAACGTCAAAGGCAGCGGCGACGATAGATTCCTGGATACAGTTACTAGAGGCAGAGTCAGAGACCTGCTCGTTGTAGGCCGGTTCTAAAGTTGAAACTTTGATGGCAGATGGCACGAGATTTCGCATCGTGGATGATCAGTTTTGAGAGATGATTCGAATGAAGCTAGAACTTCGGAACGATGGTAACCCTAACCCTAAACTCGTTCTTCTGACCATCAACCTCCATCGACCACCTTCTGACCACTCCATCGCGATGGCACCCCAAGCTGCTCGGGATGACAGCAAACCCACGGTCAGTTCTTCACCTCACTCCGGTCCCAAACGGACCAAGAAAAAGCGTCACCATAATCAAAATGCAGAAGAGTCCCTTCCCGGTGTTCAGAAAATCAAATCTTCACTCCGCCAGACACGGCGGCTTTTGGCAAAGGAAAATCTTGCAGCCGATGTTCGCGTGGAGACTGAGCGAAGGCTGAAAGCGCTTGAGGCAGACCTTACTCGTGCTGAAACGGCAAGGAAAGAGCGAACGTATGCTATGAAGTATCACAAAGTCAAATTCTTTGGTGAGTTCAGATGATATGCTACTCTGTCAGCAGCTATATCAGCGAAGAGCGCCAGAAAGTGGTCCGTAGGATCAAGCAAATCAAACGCGATCTTACTTCGGCACAAGGAAAGGAGAGAGAAAAGTTAGAAGGCGGACTCGAAGGTCTAAGGGTGGACCTCAACTATATTCTGGTACGGGTCTTGAATCTCATGGAACGAGTTTTCTGAAACGACGATACTACAGCACTACCCGAAGACCAAAAAGTACATATCACTTTTTCCTCCAGAAAAACGCCACATTGATACCGTCTCGACAACTTCTGACGACAATGACCAACGCATTACGGTCCGTGACCTCATTCGAGACCAGATGCGGCGTGGCGAAATTAGCAAACAACCCGAAAATGAGCTCGAAAGTGGCAACCGACAACCAGTTGTGTATACTGGGCCAGATCATTCCCACAGAAACGAAGAAGGATCTCATGGAAAAAACGATCAAACTAGCTCGGCAGCACATCGTACTACTACCGAAGGGGATGATTTCTTTGGTGAGGACGGTGATACAGAGGCCTCCGGTACGTCGGAAATAGAAGTCGAGTAGCGGAGTGTTGTTTCACTTGTTATGTATGCAAATTCTAGCCTTACAGAGTAACATCTCGACCAGTTATCCGGAATAGAATGATTCAATAATTGCCTCTAAAGTACTACAATGCATATGATCTATGTGAGACTGCCACAAGTATGATATTACAACATATCGATCAAAGACGTCGTGTTTTATACATCGACAGAAAGCTTATCCATAATCGCAGACAACATCGGATTTCCACCCAATCTCGCAATTTCTGCTCTACCCTGTCGTTCCAACTTTCTGAGCACAGCCAGAGTGTAGTCAAACGACTTCGTAGTGTCCCTGAGGTAGTTGATGGTGTGGTGCTTAAGGGTAGGGGTCTTGGGACGCTTTTGCAAGACATCTGGTAATACAATTGAATGAGATGGATCTAGAGGACAGGATTGAAGAACCCACTCATGATCTGGCGGTTATCGGGCTGTTCCAGAATACCGTGAACTATGGGGAAGGAGAATTTTCCTTCCGACAAATCTTCCGCGAAGCCCTTGTTGTCCGTGTACTATAAACAGCGGATTCAAATTGTCTCATCCTGTCTCAGAATACATAAGAGGCTAACCTGGCTGCTCTGGAGATTCATGTAATCATCACGTATCTGGAAATGAACCCCAATGAGGTCCGTCAAAGGGATGTAGTCACTAGTTGGAATTTCAGTCAAATTTCAGTCAGTTCGGGAAATATCAACGGGCTCCATGCGAGACTTACACATTCGTGTTTGTCGTGGCACATGCCATCATAAGTTTGACAGCAATCCTGAGGAGACCACCCGTTTCTAGCAAAAAGTTCTTGACAAAAAGGAATCTGAAACAACGCCGATAACCTACTAGCTTTCACCATATCCACATATTCATCTTCTGTGGGACAGCGCAGGGTGTCACGCCAGAGAATGTCCATGCCCTGCCCACGGTGGAGTGACATGAGCTCACCTATACGGATTGCGACATTAATATTGTTGCAATAATGATAACGAACAACTCACCAGTCACCACGATGTCCAGGTCATGATTAGGAATGATGCGGTCAGGGAAATCAGCCTTCTCAGCAGCCGGACTGTCATCGCCGAGCCCACTGTCTGAACTCGAGCTCGAGATGGTAGCACGACGCTGAACAGTCGGCCTCAGAGCAGACAGCTCTTGGTAGGCCAAGAAGTAGACGTAATTGGCAGTATTGATGGTCTGAGGAACACCATATATTTTGTGGGCGACTGGAAGAAATCATCTTCAATAATGCCTTTCAGGGGTAACGGTGACACAAGACCAACCTGGGATTCCACGTCTCAGCTGAGAGTCATCTTCGATGTCATCAATCCTGTAAACCTAAGGGTTAGTCGGCACTAAAAAGTGTCCAACAACGTGTAGAGACATACAAGAGGACTGCCATTGTGGAGAAGACCAACTACGCGGTTAATGACCGCAAGCTTATCCTTGGGAACATTGAGCCAGAGGTTGAAACTTTCGACAAGCTTTCCCCGGATTTCTTTGCCCGGGTTAGCAGTGATGTAGTTGTATGGTTCAAGCAATGACTAGCGTAGCGAAGTTGAGCTGTGCATCCTCGGGGTCAAAGGCGCCACTCACAGATTCCTGAGCTTCAGTCCATGAGCTGGACGATGTTCCGTGGAGAGTTGAGAGAAAGTTATCGTATTTATCGACGTTAGCCATAACTACCAACTATTGAGATGGGTTTTATTTGGGGCGATGTGAACCACGACTCATTTTATACCAAAAGATTTGAACAGGGCAGGATATTCGGAGGCGACAAATCTAGCGAAAGAAGCCGAAGGACCTCAACCTAAAATAGTAATAGTAGCCAATTTAAGTCCTGCCGAATAGGACCAGCCCTGGTTAACGTACGTTCCCTGTACCGCCTTTTAGTAGTACTAATAGTAGTACTAGTAGGGCCAAGCGGAGATGAGAATCATGAGATGCGAAGTAATCTAAAGTAACGCTGCAGCGTGAGATTATTAGGAACGTTGTGATTCTTATACAGCTGAAAATTAAAGATAAGCTTGCCCAGCCTGTCTGCCAGATCAAAAATGCGCACTGCGCGCTGCATGAATCCAGGGGAACAGCTTGAGAAGGCATTAATGAACGTTACTCCAATGGCGTAATGACGGCTATGGCATCGCAAGATGAAAATTTGCGATACAAATCGGACCATGTCGGGCCAGCAACTGGTTACACCGAGCGCTTTGACTAAAGGAAGAGCTTGACGAGATGTGCCGGCCACGGTGCTCTCACATATGATTACGGTCCATATCATTCAGATTCAGCGAACGCATTTGTAAGTATATGCAAAAATCTGTCTTCAACTCGAACGATTTGGATTTATCTCGCGAACAACTGAGGCGAGCTGAGGAAGCGAGCAACGATAAGCTGGTTTAGAGTGTGGGAGGTTCTTGTATGTCAAAGGAAAGCAGCACAAACAGTAATATTACACACGAGCTCGGAGGAGAGGTGGAAGCGAATTTGTAAACAACTTGAAATGAACGCGAAGAAAGGATGGCAGTATATAACAGTACAAAAGTTGAGCCTGATATATTGATACAACGAAAGAAACCCCAAAAGTTACCCCACATCGATGTCCCTGCTCAGCAAACCTCTTAAAATTCCCAATAAGCTTAATCCCCAAGCCCTACAGGCACATCAGGGCGAAGATTGTGAGTGTCAAAGACCGCTGATTGCCAGCACAGCTCCTCATAGCTTTGGACCGGTGAAAGAACCAGGTCTGGGTCAACATCTTCTAACCAAGCAGAGTTATAATCGTGAGTACCCGGGATGATCCGGCGCAACTCCTCGTGGAAAAAGTCAAGCAAAAGCTCTTGTTGCGCCATAGCTTGCCGAACGTCTGGCGAACATGCGCAAGAGTAGGAATCTGGGAGAGGCGAAGATGAAATTGGACTGCTGGACCCAGGTAAACGGTACCAAGGACTGTCCCAAGCAATGTTAATGTATTGCGCCGCGGCTTCGTCATCAGGGACGGTAAAGCTCGCAGTGGTGTCATCACTGTTGTCCGAAAGAGACTTCATATGGTGGGCTAGCCAAGGACTTATATCAAAAGTCACCAGACCATCCAGACCATCGCAGGATCCGTATTCGTCATCCTGGAGATCACAAGGACCGCAATCGCCACAGGAATTAAATGGATGCGCAAAGATGCTGTCAGGTGACGAGGGCACTTTGGAGTCAGTATCAGGCTTCTCCCCCTAACAAGTTTGGTTTACGATAAGTCAGGTAGCAACTTCATTTCATTCGAGCACTGACCGAATTGACTGCTGTGATCCAATATTGGATGTTCTTCATATCTTCATACATTGGTTTCGATAGCGATTCTGACCTGTCCTGAAGTGATATGTGCGAAATCAAATGAGGGTGTGAGGAATCAAATTGACCAGCAACTCCAGGTCGAAAACTAGGTGAGGAATGAGACGGCATGTGTAAAGTACAGTGTTAGGCGGAGCACAGCTGCGCGGGCATGAGTAACAGATTGCGACTCTTCAGGAGCTTTTTATGCCATCGTGGCCACCGCTGATTATAAGCATACCTGACGTCCACAATAACGAGTACCCGTTATGGGAGCGCGTTTCAGAGAACACGTTGTGCACGTGACAATGTGACAGATGGGTCAACATTGTGCAACTTCAAGACAATAGGTGTGGGGCCGGCAGCCCGTGAGTAGAATAGCCCAAAGCTAAACAGAGTTTGCTGGACGCGCTGCATAACACTAGCCGCCAGAACTTATTGTCTCGCAGTGATAAGGAATGGATCCAGGATCAGATACTTCTTCAAGATTGTATCCGGACATAAACAAGTATCGGTCGAGCATGGAAGCAGGTGGATGAACTCACCACAATAAAAAAAAGTGGTCAACTTGCGTCAATCTTTATTCAATTATGGTCTAAATCACGATTACGTGCGCACAGTCATGACGACCACTCTTGCTGCCATCGTTTAAGGCGAAGTCTCCCAAGAATGATATCGTGCCTTCCTTCAGCCATCTTTACGACCTCGCCAATCGCGTTCGAACACTGCTCGTCAAATAACCTCATTTTCCTATTTCTCCTGAGTATGTGATCGGGTCTGCTACCGGGTGTTGGAAGAGAATAAGGCTGGTACTGGGCAGAAGTCCGAGGGAGTTGCGGTTTCCAGAAAGGCTTGTGGGAATAATACAACTTTTCGACCCACAAAACATGGTTTTGTCTTAGCCATTTCAGATTGCGAGTGATTTTATGGGCGAGTCCTCGTGTTACTGCCGCGGTCGCGAGTAGCGAAAGTGTACGATCCACTGAGAATTTCGGCACACCATTCAGAACTCGACATAATTAGAGATGACGCAAAGAATTAGATGAACTCACCTCGTCTGTGCCATGTATATAGCCACTGGACAATATTTGTCCGCTCAGATGAACAAACGTCGTGGTGCTGAAACCTGTGGATTTTGAATGCGGCCTCGTCGAAGACAGGTCTCCACAGCCGACGAACCTGTATTTTCGACGGAGAATGGTGCAACACTACCGCGGAATTAGCTCGAAGAAAGAGCCGATACAAGCTTCTGAATTCGGCTGGAAGACTGGCGTTAATATTTCTGACAGTCCTGGTTGGCACATTACTCTCAGCCTTGGAGAATTGGCTGAAACGGTACTTACATTCTGACGGCAAAGAGAGACGAGGCATCAAATTATGTAATATTATCAGACTCGAAGTGATTGCTTGATTGATTGTACTAGATGTCCACTAGAGTCCGCGCGTTTTTGGCGTAACGTCTATTGCTCCATAACGCACAAATATAAAAATTTAATTATTTGACAGTTCGTTAGCCTGACATCGAAGGTACAACACCTGCTAGTTATTTTGTTCGAAATTCGACAGTTGAGTCCGGCGGAGAGTTACCGCACAGAAAAGTGCATTTTCCCTAGAGTTCGCGCACTTTGTCACATTATGTCACACGTCTGCCGCGATGCCTTTTCACACTCCGCAATGCACCGTTCGTACAGTAGTCGTGCGCTGCGCACTTACTTAGAGGCAATGAAACAATCTGTATGAAGCAGCGAAAGTGTGCAATCAATATTATTGAACTGGTTTATGTGACCGTAAAATATAAAGTATATATCTTGACTAGACTTCGAGTAACTAATGTGAATAATAAGGTGAACTCGGGTGAGTGTGTGCAGGCATATGATAATTGTGATGGGGAATGGTATGATAGTGTGTATTGCTAGGTCCATGATATAAATTATGCTGGGGAGAGAATGGGTGATGCTGAGGAAGTAAAGTATGTGCAACTTGAATGCCAGAGTAAACAGTCGAGGGGGGATCAGACATTGACAGCGCGGGAACGTAATGCGGAGAATTGGACGAGGATGACACTGGTAAGTCCGTCGAACGTTGCGAATCGTTGAGTCGACGACGGATTGCAGGCCGCTCGACTTGAAGTCACTCTGCCGGTGCAGTGTTTTCATCAACCACAGTTGTATGCGTGCGTTTCTGCCCACGAGGGAGACGGCCATAAAGGCCGGTGAATTTCGGATCGTCCTTCAGCTGTGGTTGCCCGTCAAGCTGCGCTTGAATCAAGGAGACACGTTCAGGATTGTTTCGAGCGCCATCAAGAGAAATTCCCAGAGCTTGTGCGAGTTCGAGAAGATCAGCTTTTGATTTGCTGCCGAGACGCGCTGCTGTTTGGACTTGACCGTTGGGGTGGGCTCAGACTTCAATTTGGCATTGGTGTTTTTGTGCCGCATTTCGGCATGGCGGAGTTTCGACTTACACAGTCTTGATGTAACGCTTTGGATAGATTGTCACGTCTGGGGCATATTTCTTTTATTGTAGATGATCCTGACAAGCATGTGGCCCCGGAGAAATTTGTTTTAGTATTCTCTCATTGTGTACAATCACCATACCATATTCCAGAATTTTATGTGGTGATTTGATCTTGAGAGCGAGCCTTGTATGCACGAAACTAGCCTCCAGTACCAATAAGTTGGCCATGGGACGAGATCTACTTCAATTTTCTTCAAAAAAAATATATGGCACTATGTATTATGTTGGGGGGAACCTAAATACAATATACATAAGGATTCCATGCAGAATTGTGTGCGCTAGAGTCAATGCACGGACTCTTGGGACACACGGACTTGTGGGACCATCTAGTAGTCAGTCTTACCAACTCTTACGTGCCTTGTCAATCACGAAGCGTATGAGACCGCCCACACCAGACCCTGTGACACTCTTACTTCGAGAGCACACTGCCCTGCAAACTCTAAGTATTTGAAGTACTCCCAGATTCTATCCAGCTTGCATTATGCACAAGAAAGCTGGTGCCAGTGGCGAAACCAATCAGATCATTTGGCAAACCAGTGATGGAGACATTGCCTGCAGAGATCCTATGGCAGATTTTCACCTTCGTATATTGCGAGGGTATAGTCTCTCGATGAATATGACATCGCTTGCGGCATAACTGCACATATACATACAATCTAACTCCTGCCCATGGTCCAATTGTGGAGCTCCGCAGGCATGATTATGCTTCCTGAGCCCCGCAAGTTGAGAGCTTCAGTCTTTCATAGTTTGCAGGTGATAAAGAGCATCAAGTCCGATTCCGTCCTGCCGGGCACCCAATCGGTAATCCGGTGATTGCAAGAAAGGCTTCGATGATACGTCGGTAACACATCGGTTGGCACAGAGAAATTGTTGAATCTCCATCCCACTCATCTATGGTGGATCTTTGGTGACGGTTCGATTTGTCATCATGCTGCATACAATTTTCATAGTCCGCTGTTCATATTGTTGTATATCCAGAGTATTAATTGCAATCTGTCACAGTCAAGTGATGCACAAACATACCGCAACTGTAGTCCCGATCGACTGATTGCACTTCCTTAACTTGGCTGCCAGTGGATCCTCATTGATGCATCTGTGGTGCGTGGTTCACGGAACATACTATGGAGTTGAGGTGAGTGCATTGCCTGCCAAAGGGACACTGGTCTTGGCTGAGGACTCATCCAAACCCTCGGACAGAGTCTTGCGTGCTTTCAAATGGTGGATAAAACTCTTCTCTTATCATATTCAAGTTGCTTTCATGCTTCAGACAGATGCTGAATACACTTGGACACAATGGTCAAGTTCCTGCTCGTGAGTAGCATGTACATATGTGCTAGTACTTCATGTGAAACTGATATCTCTCATTCAACAGCTCCTGATGCCCTCATCAGACCGATAATTGAGGATTTTGTTGCAAAAGGGTACAATAACCCCGAGATTGTAACTCGGCTTCGTAGGTATTATGATACTGATGCATATAATGTTTTGTGAGTTGTTTATTTTCTTCCAGTCGAAAGCACACCTTACATATCTTCCCCGTTTATAGGATCGACCTCCTGAAAAAGCGGCACTCTCAGTGGGGACTGAAATCTGCGCATGGACAAGCCCACACCATTACAAGCATAGGTCCGGCTATTGAGTGTGTACAAGCACGCTTCCCAAAGCAAGGTTCACATGACATGAGACAGACTCTCATACATGAAGAGAAGATCATTGTTTTGAGGTGCGCTGTCTTTTTGGTCATATTTCTGCATTATGATGTGGAAGTTTTGCCAACAGAAAGTTAATTCTTTGCTACATGAATCTTTATCATCCAGAAGATATTCAAGCTTGCAAGAGTCAGCACCTGAAGAGAAGTATATACTGGACGGCGGGTGTCAATGATATTTGGGTATTTGATCAGCATGACAAGTGGCGATGCTTTCAGCTATATCTTCATGTCGCAATTGAGCCGTTTTTGGGATGTGTACTCTGGCTCAAGATTTGGTGGACCAATCATAACCCCCGCCTTATTTGTGGGTGGTATTGTGATACTGTAGAAACTCTTGGCGGTGAGCATGGCCCTCTCATTGTGTATATGACTTGTAAACTGTGACCTGGTTTCTCTAGCTATGCCCCTCGTAACGCAGAGCGACCCTGGAAGCGAAAACAACGGCATTGCCAATGGTCACACCTTACTTCGTCACATGCAAGATCCAACACTGGCCCGTACATTGCAGCACAAATTCAAGGGTCAACATTGCAACATCAAGCCCAAGATATTTTGGAGTAAGCTCCAACGACGCTGGACCCCAGGATTTGAAGATATTCTTGATTGTGGTATTAATAATGGAATCTATAATCCTGATGATGCCTTGGAAAGGTAGCAGTACCCCATTGACTACTTCTCTTCTCGCTGAGTGCTGAACACATCTGAAAGGCTTGTTTTTCATTATGTCTTCATTCTGTGGCTACAGCACGAACTTGACCTCTTTGCTGAAAAGTTTAATAATGTCAAACCTCGTCACAATATTCACAAGATCCTCCCACATGGCCGCCCAAATGACATCTTCTATCATGCTGAAGATTTTGAGTCTTGTGACTTCTCGGTGAGTATTGGCTATTGTGGATCTCGTCAATTTGTAATACTCAAAGACATCATCCTTCTACTAGGTGAAAGTTGACCGCACTATGCTTGATGCTGTACGACAGACATATGCTGTCCCTGACCATCCTGTCTTTTGTTTGGTACCGCACGACTTTTCTCAGCAGGCTTCTGCTTTCATGGCGGAGCTGGGCACACGTCCAGTGACTCAGGACAATGTCTGGAACATCTATGCTGATCTACTGATGTGTTTCCATTTGATCGAGGAGGAGGAACAGATTCGCGAGCTTCTCACTGCGCAACCTCCACTTCCTTGTGATGGAGATAAGATGCTTGGGAGCGAGGACTTGCCTATTGTAGATTTGCCACCATTTGTTGAAGGCAGTGGCCCTGGTGGCAAGAATAACTCAGATGCTGAGGAGGAGCAGTCAGATGATGCATCGTCTGATTTCTATGAGTTTGACTGGACGGACGATGAACCTTGATATAATTTTGTATGTTACTATGACTATATGTGTATAAATTATCATAGCCAGTGGTTGCAAATACTATTTGTGTCATGAAGGACTTTTCACCGTGACTTTGAACACCGTGATTGATGATTGACTCCGGATCCAATGATTTGACGTGCACTTCAATGGAACATTGCAATGCTTCAATTCATTGGCTGATCTGCAAATGCCAACCAGCAGTATATAGAGCCAGAAAAATGATGTTCCATCATCCCCGAGTCCAAGGCTCTGCTGCTCCAAAGTCTTTTCCACTGCTCCAAAGTCTTTTCTGCTGCTCCAAAGTCTTAACATGGACTTCACTCCAGTCAATGAATATGGTCCAAGGTTGTGTCAACGTTGTAATGTCTAATTTGACTGTGTCAGTGACTTTTGAATATATTCGCAGGCAAGGATGGTTCAGGTTGAGCATGCTGTCCTCCCTGTGCAAAACATTATATTGATCGCAAAGCTGCGGAGCTGGCGCAAAACAATGCTGTGCATGGTATGGGTAATAACCAGCACTCAGGCATAGGTAAGAATTTCAACTTCACTTCCTAGTATTGGCAGCCCTTATCAGCTTCACCATTTATCTCAGATTTTACAAGCATGGGAGCATCGAGGGAGGCCCTTGTTAAAGCTACATCAGCAGCACAACGGGGCAGGTGAGTAGCATTGATAGTCTCTGTTTGTTAAATCCACACTGACATGATTGCAGAATGATTGTTCCCAAGCCAGCACTTCAGTTCTGGGTCACCACAGATGCCTGGCAATCCAGGACAAATGCTTCCACCTCCTGCTCCAGTTTCATCCTGTAAGTGTACTTATGACTCCAAATTGATTGTTGCATTTCTGACGCGTACCAAGATAACTCACTATGTCATTCAAATGGCTATACAGCCAACCATCAATTCCACCACCAATACCGTAGCAAGATGCTTCGTGCAGCATCATCCAGTCGTGTTCAAATTGTCACAATCCGAGCTGCCCTTCATCACTTAAAGCCAGAAGGCAAGTCAGGCACTTTGCTCGTTGGGGTAGGTCTTAGCTTGTAATATGACGCACTTGTTGCTTTTACTGATTCAACATGAAGAACATCGAACGAGACATGCGTGTATCGTTGTCTACCACACAAACAGAACTTCGCTTGGATATAATCCGGCATCTCCAGTCACCATGGACAGAATGGTCATGCAAACATTCTCTCACCCTTGAGAGTCTCGAGATGCATAAATCACCCATGATGCTTCTCTTTGACCCGAGGCAGCCATTGTATGATCCTGACGCAGTGGTACTTCATGATTTCTTCCTTTGCTCTACAACCAAAGATTTGGTCCCAAAATTCTATGCCAGCACAAAGGTTGCTATTCTTCTCATTATGACACACGCACAGTATGAAAGTGTCCAACTCTGGAGGGAGCAAATTGATGAGTTGGTGGGTCTTCGTCATTAATACTTACGTCTTGCTAAATGCAGTGATTTTAGCACTGTGATGATGCCACTGAGATGAAGGACGTACAGACAAATTTGCACACATCACCACCTGTCTATGCAACTGATGAGGCAAGCAACACTACGCACTCTGAGTTACCAGTCCGTCCATTCCTACTATGATGTTGCATCAAATTAACTAACAAGGATTGAAGAGTCGACACCCGAAGAAGCCACGCAGCCCCAGTCACACTACCAGTAGCCCGACTAGCAGCCGAGCCCACAAACGTGTTAAGGAGGTATGTTCACTGTACTCCTGCATTGAACATGTATTTATATTGTTAATTTGAAAAGAATGATCATAATACTACTTACCAAACGCAGGGCATTGAGACTAACGACTCGGAGCAGGATTCCAGAACAGTCTACCACCTCTCAATCTCTGTTGTCGATGTCGATGTCGATGTCGGCAGTAGAGACACATCTCCCCAGTCGCATCAGTAGCCTGTTACCTGCAACTCCACGGCTTTTCCTACCCAGTCAACAACAACTCGAGGCTGCCATGAAAGCTCAGGGAAGCATCCGAAAACAAGCTTCAGCCGTTTGTACGGTTTTGCAGCATTTCAACGTGGTATTTCACTAATACATGATTTATTCATATTCAGGCAAGTACAACTCGAACACGTTCCGAGTGTACCAAATTCGCTCGCTCCGTCAAGTTTCAAGACATCATCACAACTCCACTCAACGTCACGTCCTCCCCTTTCGACCTTGTCTCAATCTCCATAGACTCCGATGCAAAGTCAATGATAGGTACTGCCGGAAGCTTCAAAACATGCCATCCGGCTCTTTTGCATACTACTTCATTGAGCGCTACACCTGGGCCATCAACTTCGCAATCTTCCATTTTCACAGCAACGCACGTCGTAGCCAAGCGTGTCTTTTTCCGAAAACGTGACGGGAACTCCAAGCGTCAAAGGTTTTCCAAAGAAGATGAACTTGGGAGGACGCTCGATGAGGCCAACTGCCTATACTGGGCTACCTGTTTGATGTCTCT